TTTTGGTTTGGTTTTAAAATTTAAAAATCGATCAAATTTGGTTTGATTTTAGTTTTAATTAAAAAAAATCGAACCAAACCGAATATAGTAGTAGCTATTTTAAATTTATTATTACACCTATATATATGTATATTTTTATACAAAGTTTTAAATTTTTTATAGTAAATATTAATCGTTTGCACTTTTAGTACAGTTCTTTAACTTTACATTCTAGTTTAATTGGTAGTTTTCTTTTGTTAAATGTAAGAATCTATTCCATGTTAAAAATAATATATTTTTAATTGAGTCCTTAAATTATTCATCACTATTTGATTCAATTATCATCAATATANATTGGTAGTTTTCTTTTGTTAAGTGTAAGAATCTATTTCATGTTAAAAATAATATATTTTTAATTGAGTCCTTAAATTATTCATCACTATTTGATTCAATTATCATCAATATATCTTGGTAAATAATATATTTCTCAAAGGACAATTGATTTGATAGTGTTACGTTGAAAATGTGGTCGCCGAAATGTGTGTTTGGTAGTGTATGTCTTATATTTAAGAAAAAACCGACAAATAACCGGAAAAACCGAAAAACCGACATAAACCGAATTGAGAAAAAACCGACATAATTGGTTTGGTTTGGTTCTAATATTTGAAAAACCGACTTACTTGGTTTGGTTTCTTTTTAGGGAAAAATCGATCCAAACCGAACCATGAACACCCCTATTTGTGGACACATATCTTATACCTGGGTCTACGAAATTTTGGGACCCACACAGTTGTGAGACAAAAAAAGAATTTTGTGTGAGACACAAAATAAAAATTTTCGTTAGGTACTATTACGTCAAGTAATATTTAATGGCCTTTTAGATTTATGCCATGTGGACTATAAAATAATTAATGATTGAGATCTAGTTATATTTTATACCTATCAAAAAACTAAAAAATGACAAAAATTATACTAATACAACCCGTTAAAAACCAACTCACATTTCTTACTTCTTTTTTTCCTTTGATATATTTCGTGCTTTTGCCAAATAAAGCACCATAATTTCAAGGTTCGAAATGTCAAATATTTTCTGAAAATTGATATTACTCGTTAATTAGCCCTAGTCAACTTAATTGGTTCGCATAGAGAATATTTCTCCTATTCCCACATACTGTACTCACACAAATGGTGATAGAAGGCTATGAATTCTCAGCAACCTACTTACAATATTGCAGAATATTTTGGTACTGAGTATTAAACTTTGATTTTGTTTTACATCTTAGATTTAAATATTTCATAGCTTGAGCACAAGTAATTACAACTTATGATCATTTGGAACTTTTGCGATATTGCAAATATTTCGTGGAGTTGGACCAATTAAAAAGAAGTTGAGTATTGCTTTTTGATAGGGGTAGTAGTGTTTTTTCTGAAAACTATTTAACATTCCTAAACTGAGTACAAATTATAGTGCTTTATTTTGTTGAATGTAAGAAACAATTAAAAAGAAAAAAAGAAGTAAGAAACAAGGGCTAGTTTTTAATTAGTGCCGTTAGTATAATTTTGGTCATTTTTCATGTTTTTTTATAGGTATTAGTCTTGGTGTATGCGCTTTGCGCGTGTACCCATATTAATGAATATAAACTTTTTTTTAAAATTATGTAAATATTATTAGATATTTATATAACATTACAAAATAAAAGTTAAAGATTTTTTTTTTTGAAAATAGTAGATATTTTTGTATTTAGCTAGCTCAATAGATGATGAAATCATGTCCAATTGATGATGAAGATGTTGAGATGAATGTGTGGGCACATTAGGCTGTATGAGATTAGGAATGAAGATATTCGGGAGAGGGTGAGTGGCTCCAGTGGACGATAAGATGCGGGAGGCGCGGCTTAGATGGTTCGGACATGTGTAGAGGAGAAGCCTAGATGCCCCGGTTAGGAGGTGTGAGCGGTTGGCTTTGACAGGTACGAGAAGAGGTAGAGGGCGACCTAAGAAGTATTGGGGCGAGGTGATCAGACAGGATATGACGCGACTCCAGATTTCCGAGGACATGGCTCTTGATATGAAATTGTGGAGGTCGAGCATTAGGTTTGTAGGTTAAAGAGTAGTCGAGCGGTTTTCTTCTTTGTCCCGGTTTCACTTTTTGTACCGACGAGTATGATAGTGTTTTGTCTAACACTGCTACCGGTGTATGTTGTGTTTCACACTTTTGCATAATATTTGTGTAACTACTTTTCCATTTATTTGTTGTCTCTCACGTTGTTGATATTATTTTTTGAATTTTGTTGTCACAGATCTATTATCTCTGAGCTGAGGGTCTCCTGTAAACAGCCTCCAGAGGGGGTAGGAGTAAGGTTTGCGTACAGTCTACCCTTCCCAGACCCCACTGGTGAGATTTTACTAGGTTGTTGTTGTTGTTGTTGTTGTTGTTGTTGTTGTTGTTGTTGTTGTTTTTTCTTATTGTGATCTATGAGGACTTATGTGGCAATATTTTATGAAAGTTATTGTTATTTCGTGATTAATACTAAAACAAAATATGACAATATTTTTTTCACGATTTTTAGATTAATCTTTTGGTCTTCTAGAATTTGAGAATGAAAAGATTGGCCTTGTACCTCCTAAATATTAATAATGAAAATGTAAGATACTTAAAATTGACTAATGTTGAGTTAATATTTTACGACAAATAATTTAAAATGTGAAAAATATAGAGAATTGTCCTTCGTCGGAATAAATTCAAAAAAGAATAATAATAAAGGACAACTCATTTAGAATACATATTTTAAAAGAAAAAATAATTACTGGTAATTCATTAAGAGTACATTTGTACTTAGAATTAATGAGCGCAAATTTTAAATATCACTTAAATGTGTTAAAAATTTATTTTGAGTTATAAAATAAAATTAAAAAAATAATTTAAATTTCTAAAAAATATTTATCCAATTTAACTGACTCATTAAAAGTAAATAAATTTTCAAGTGAATTGCAGGCCTCTAGCCAATAAAAATATTACCGAAGTACTTGAAAATGATACAGGATTTTACGAAAAAATATATTACCATCAAACTAAATTACAATTAGGGGCTCTCAGCTTTTTGTAGTTCCCTTTTTTCTCCCAAAAAAAACTTTTTATTTGCTATAATATATTGTTAAAAGATAAGAATAACATTAATTGTACAATTTAGTTTGTTTACAAAGTAGGATAGATTTGTAGTTATAGCTAAATTGAGAGTACGGCATGCGGGGATTTATGTCCATGTTGTAAAGTCTTTTTATACTTTGTAAATATTACTTGGGAAATTAAATTCTTTTACCTACCAAAAAGAATATTAATTGTAAGAAGAAAAAAAAAAGTTAAAAAATAGATATCTTCCACCACCTATCCATCACGTTATTCCCCGTATCTAAAAAGTTGGATTCTTTTGGTAACATTTTAATTAATTTTAACCAAAATGTTAGGATTTCTTACTTAGTCCCGTAAGGAAAGATATAATAATCAAACTTTTAGTTGATTTTATTGTCCTAAATATTAGGAAAATAATTAAAATAACTTTTAGCTGAGATGGTTCGGACATGTTAGGAGAAGAAGCATTGATGCCCCTGTCAGGAGGTGTGAGGGGTTGGCAATGGAGAGTTTGAGAAGGGGTCGAGGTAGGCGTAAGAAGTACTGGGAAGAAGTGATCAGGCAGGACATGGCGCTGCTTCAGCTCACTGAGGATATGACCCTTGATAGGAGAGTGTGGAGGTCGATGGTTAAGGTAGACGGTTAGTACGTAGTTTATAGTGTTTACCGATATGCTTAGTAGCATGCATGTCCCTTCATATTCTTAGATTTTTATTACGATATGTGATTTTGTTCGCCTAAAGTATTGTATTCCCTGTTGCTATTATTTGATACTACATATCCTTTATCTCTCCCTTTTTCTCTTCCATCTTTCTTCCTTCCTTGCTTCCCTCTTCCTCTTCTTGCCCTTCTTGAGCCGAGGGTCTATTGGAAACAGTCTGTCTACCTACATTAGGTAGGGGTAAGGTCTGCGTACAGACTACCTTCCCCACACCCCACATGTTGGGATCAAATTGAGTTTGTTGTTGTACAATTTTGTTTAATATAATATTAATTTTTAAAGGATAAAAAAAGCGAACAACATTTCGCTAAGGGCCTTCGTGCTTTTAATATAATATAGATAAAGTGTAAATTGATCTTAGCCATTAATTATTTTATACTCCACATGACATAAATCTAAAAGGCCATTGAATATTACTTGAGGCAAAAGTACTTGACTGGATTTTTTCCCCTAATATAATATACTTTTTCAAGCATAGAATATGACCTCACACAACTATTATTGTTGGTTGAGTCTCATAGAAGAGAACGACTTAAAAACTGGAAAAAAGGAGGAAATCTATTTTCCGCAAAGCGAAATCGCTGGTCACATGCAACATTATCTTCTCTTCGGCTCCGGAGGATAATTCTGCTTAAGAAATCGCAAACGTGTATGATGCTTAATTATTATATTTAATAATTTTGGCAGATGAATATGTTGCTGATTACCTTGATATCCTGGTCGTCACAAATAATTGCTTTCAAATAATCTTGCACAAAATACAGGAATGACCAGTCTCTTCGTTAGTGAATAGTAATACTGTCTGAAAAAAGAAAATTTAACTAAAAAGAAAAAAGAATAAGAGAAATAAAGATAAACGCGTTTCATACCTGTAATGCACCTTTGAGACAAAATTATGGTTACCTTTGGACTACAAAACAATTTGTTTTTTTTTTGTACGTGTGAATATTTCAATTTGTTTCGGGGGATTGATTTTGGAATTATTGTGAGAATTACTTGATTTTTCTGTGCTAAAAAACAACAGATTTAGCTTCCGTGCCCAAACAAACTATTTCCTCCTATAAATGACTTGCTCAATAAAGCCTGATTGGACGGAACCTCAGTTTTGAATGGTGAATATGACATCATTACACACCGGAAGTTAACCAGCATTTGAGTCTAAGCCAAGGAAAGTCGCGAACTCTCTCATGCTCAAATACATTTCAAATAAAGCGTTTAGGTTATGATTTTGAAATACACAACATCACAATAAAAAGCATACACTTTCAGCACAGTTAACATCAATTCCGCCAGTAACATTTCCACCTTTTTGCAGATACAAAACAGAAACTATAAAAGCATTACTCTTATGCTCAAGTTAATATTCAGCCCTTCCAGTTATCCTTTCGTTGCCTGATTTCACGTAAGGCTTCAACAGGAGACTTGAATCCCACCTTTTCCTGTTTGGCAAGCAAGAAATCCCAGTTTAAAAAGGCTTCGTGGCACACGGAGACAAGCAGATAAGACATTCATTCTTCCCTACTTTTTTTTTGGGATAAAGCAAGCAGACAGAGATGGTAAACAAGACAGGGCGGATATGGAGTTATGCCGCAAACCTTCTAACCTACCTTGCATAACATTTTTTTATGTTTTTTCCTCGCCCCCGCCCCCAAAAAGTTTTTATGTTTTCCTGTTAAGGATGTACTCCATATTTGAAGAATATGAAAGTGTGACTATATCATTTTCAGTTAAAGACTAAAACGACAATAGTTTAAAAGAGAAAACAGTCCATCTCTATTTTATGATTTTTGAGATAGTAGTGAGTTAAGACAATTCGATGCTGTTGTCAAATACTAAAATACTGTGCTTGAGATGCTATACATAAAAATAAATTTATTTAGTTCCCTGGAATATATAATGGTAGAAGAGTAGATAGCATGGAGTTGAGTTTTGCAGTTTTAACCACAAGGTTGGTTATTTTGTGGGGCTGCTTTTGATGGGATG